TTTATTTTCCCACTGAATAAAATTCAAATCTAATGTACAAATTATGCAAAAATGCACGCACATAAACTTTCTAATTATTTGGGTACAATGAAAAATATATTGAGTCAATATTAAGACCCTATAAACATTTTAAAATTATCAACATTGTCTTTGACAATGGTGAAATCATTGAAATCTTTAATACAAAGTAAGAGTCGAAAATGTTGCTGAATAAATACGTATTCAATTTCAATATATATGCCCTTCGAAATTTGTTGAACTTGTGTGAAATTTTAACCATTGTACTCTGGCTGTCTTTTGATATCGCCCTATGGGGAGCCAGAAATTGAAAGCACGCTGCCTGCCAGTCTGTCACATCGGCTTCAATGAGATAAATACAACACTGCAACAGATAATCACCTGCTTACACACGCTCTGCCCTACACATATACACACACATACAGACGCGCACCCTGCACACTCACACTCACACACCCACGCACACTCACATATACTTTTATTATGCTACTATAAAATTCAACGCAAGGTAGGTTAGGCACGTCCCATCGACAAAATGAGAGAGAGGTGCGAGAGAGCTTTTCAGAGTGTGTTGCTCCAGAGAGTATTCCTGCAGACTCTGACTGGGGTCCTGCCGCGCCCACCATCCAAAGGGCTGACTCCGCCCTCCACTTACAACTCCATACGCAACTGTGTGTTTTTTTTTGTCAGCGAGCTCAGAGGCGTGCCATGTGTAGTGGTTGTGGGCGATGAGTATGGGGGAATGGGCCAGCGCTGGGCTGTTAGTCCATGCAAATAAAGCCAAATACAAAAGCAACGGAAATTGAAGCCCATTATAAACGAGTCAACAATGTCAGAGTAGTAGCAGCAACAACAACAACAACAGCCATGTCAATTGGCTGCTAGCTTATGAATTTATAGTGGCTCCCATAATTGGGTCAAAGGATATTGACCCGTACGCAACCCACTGGATATAAGGCAGTTGGCAAATAGCCAGACACTATTGTGTACATATGGGAAAGTTCGCTTAATTTCCCAGACGACAGTTTGTCTGGGGCGCACTTCCGCCCCTCTCAACCAATTTGTTTAAATTTGATCTGCGGCCATTAATGAGAATTACTGTGGAAAACAAATTCCAACTATGTTTGTTATTGGCATATTTGCTGCTGCACTCAAAAGGCGTGTACTTCCATGTACACACACACACGCACCCCAATCAGGCACTTGACTGCTATGTGTACATACACACACACACACACACACACACACACACACACACGCGCACACACACATCACGTACACATACACACATTTATGGCTACTTCACAGATACATTTTCTGGCTGCACTATGCTCAAGTGAGCTATTCGCTTAGCTACCTTTTGCGATTAGTTTATTAAGTTGTGTACACTATGCATATATGTATATAGCTGGGATGTGTAACTTTTCACTTCCGTTCGTTTGTGTATTCACGTCTTCTTTAATTTAATAAATTTCATTTCATTGGCTTGCCGCGCCGTCTGCGTCTCCAGCACATTTCCATTTACGAAATGAGTTTGCTACGCCCGCGTTTGGCTCCGACCGCGCACTGACGACACTGACGACTCTGACGACTCAGCCTGGCGTGCTGATGGTGACTCTGACTCTGCCAGTGTCTGGGTCTGGGTTCCGTAAGAATTTCTGCTACATTTTTCACACACAATGCGCTCTCCGTGCTTCGTGCTCCGTGTTCCGCGCTCTGTGACTCCATGCGCCGTGCACTATGCTCTTGTGCAATGTACGCGTAGTATCTGTATCTGCTGCGAGACGGCAGCGCAGCAGTGCCAATGAAAGTTGTGGATACAATACAGTACAATAGTTTTAGATATGCTATGCTTTGCTCAGCGCTTTCACTTGATTGTTTTGCTTTGGCTGTCGCCGCAGTCGCTGCTCCATGCGGGCCAAAGAGCGACAGAGAGTCGGAGCTGAGCGCCGAGCGCTGAGAATAAATATATTATTTCTGTTTATTTACACGATAGTATGCTTTTGTTTACGTATTCTGATGTGCAAAACTGACAGGCATCAGAGAGCAAGTTAGAAACAGAGAGGGTGACAGAGAGATTGAGAGAGACGGAGAGAGAGCGAGAGAGAGCGGCCATATCAGCGACAGAGTGTGTCACCAGCGGGTAAGAGTGGGGGATGGGAGCGAGTGCGGAGCAGCGACGATAGTAAAAATAGTATTGTTTAGTTGTCATCATGAAGAAAGAATGTGGCAAAGGGAACGCCTAAGTTGCCACATAAATGCATTCTCCAGATATTTTCATGCATACGATCATATATCATATGTCAATCTTATAAATAAATAGAAAATCTAGTAATCCTTTGTTGACTTTGTGTATGTAAATTTTCAAAATTACCGTTTTCGTATACAAGCTGTTCAATTAATTTTTAAATATTAAATGTATAACTCATTAGTTCGGGTACCAAACCACACTAATAAATGTAAAATTTAAAAATAAATATTGATAAATATTTTTATACAAGATTAATGATTTGGCTGGCTCAGCTCTTCGATGTTTTCTATCCTATGTATCTATATGTATCTATCTATATGTATTGGAGAAAAAATATTTAAATTGTAATTTATGAAAAGCACAAAGAATCAGCCAGCTAACCAAGTGAAAAATCGTATATAAAAATAAAAATAGGTCACTAAATCCCAAACATTTTTAAAGATAAAATACTTATGTATATTCTGATGACGTAAATTATCACTATTTTGTGCAGTTTTATTTGTTTTGATATCCAAAAATAACCGAACCGATCAGTTTGTAGAGTCAGGAAATAGATCAATACTAATGACTTTTAATAAAATAAAATCTCGCACAAAAAATTATAATTATTAAATTATGACTGTGCTGTAATTTTTGATTGATTGTCTCTTTGGAATTAATTTCCAACTAAAATAATAAAAATGTTAACTATTAAATCCCTTTTATTAATTTCGAATTTTCTAACTCAAATATTGTAAAAAAAAGGTACTAAAATCTATTTTATTATTTATTTATTTTTTTGTATTACGCGGTATTCCAGGGTAAGAGAGCTTCATGTTTCTTGTATCATAACAATTTGGATTTTTTACTCAATCCGTGCTTTAAGTGCAGCATTGCTCAGCTTAAGTTTGTTATCAATGCGCGCGCGCTCGCATCCGCACTCTCTGCAATCGCACTCGCTCTCTCTTTTCTTTCTCTTTCACTCTCTAACTCGCGCTCCGGCTCGCTCATCACACATGCGCCGTGTTGAGCCAAACAGACAAGTGAGTAAAGCTTTCTTATCAACCTAGTGCTTGGGGCATTGTGTTTTTTATATGGGGGCGTGTGAAGCTTTTGAAACAGCTGTTCGATAAGAGACGCTATTTAACCCTTAGATGGCCCTCTAAATGCTATTGTTGTCGCTATTGTGCAACTGTATTGGGCATAATTTATGGCTCGCTTGACTGGCAACGTGACTCACTTGTGGCGCTGTTTGACCAGCGCCGCTGTGGGCGGACACATATGGCTTTGTTGTGGCATGCCCCGCTCACAAACACACCAAGCAACAACAAATAAGCAAACAAACAAAATCGACAGACAGAGGTGGCATAGGGAAAAACATAGCAAAACAGACAAGCGGCTAACACCTACGACTGCGACCCACCGCACGGGTATTCATATTTGAGTGCCACAAATGCCACAAATATGTGTAATTGACTTGAAAATGCGCCGAGCAAATCAATCCAAGACCAAACTTTTGCCCCGACCACAGACCAGAACAGGCCCAGGCACTGGCACTGGCACAGGCACAGCTAGAGCCTGCAGTTCGACCCCAAGTGCAGCGCGTGAACTCATTCTCATTCCTGGCCAGCAGTGTGCGCTGTGTGATTGATGAATGTTGCATATTTTGGACGCAGCGGGACGTCGCTGCCGCCGCCGCTGGCTGCCTCCATTGTGTGGCATTAATGAGACATTGGCCATTTGTTTGCCTGACAATGAACTGGACGCTTGCTTTATAAAAATTGCCAGTTGCATTCAATGACGTTTCAACATTTTAATATGCTCTGCGCCCGTGTGGTAATTGCCAATCGAAATTTGCATGCACAAATCGCTGAGCTCGTAAAATTTTATAGAAATTGTAACACATCTAGCCGAGTGCGGCAATTAGAGGCGCATTATGTGGGCTCGACTTGAAACTTAGATTTAGTATCTCTGATAGGTGTATATAGCTGTACATCCAGCTTAGCTGTGCCCAGCTTCAAGACGGCGGTTCTATTTATTACCATAAATAATTGTCAAAGCCAGAAAAGTCAACTGATATACAGTCGCTGCTTGGCCCAGCATGGCCTGCCCTGGCCTGGTACTCGTATTTATTTCAGCATACGGCACACTTAAAAGGCATCAAGCCGACGACGACGACGACGACTGTGGCACACCCCTGACGTCATGTTTGTCAGTGGGTGCAGCAGCCACAACAGCAGCAGCAGCGGCAACAACAACAATAACCCATTGCTTATGCCCTGCATTGCTTGTAATAAAGTCATTAGAATGTGCGATACGATTCTGGCTCATAAGTCGGCATTCGATCGCACAGTTTGGGGCGTTAATGGTTTAGTTCCGCTGCATTCGCTACGCAACTTGTTGTTGTCTGATATTGTTGTTGTGGCTGGGGGCTGTGTCTACACATAAAACAACATCCGCAAACATAAACAAATTCCGCATTTGCTGTCATAGTATAATATGCTTATTAATATTTAAATATAACTGCCTTGAGCTGCACCAATTGTTTATTACACTTCATTGATTGTTAATTTGCATTACCATTAACTTAAAATTTAGCCTTAATATAATAATATAAGTATGTGTGTCATTTTGTAGTTTACTACTCTTTAACTGTTCCCAGGCATGATTAATAGCATCCTTAATTTTCTCATCTTTTAAGCGTTGATTATTTTTGTTTTGTTTTAATTATTATTGTTTTTATTTTTGTTCATTTTGGTTTTCATAGTTTCAATTTTTGTGCATTTCTTTTTGTTTTTCATTATTGATATCCATAATTTTGATAATCGTCATCCGTAACGTAAGTTACGTCAGTATTTTTATCATAATTATCATTAGTATCTGTATATTCAACGTCTGGAAATGTTATATCTGTCTGATCGTCTGTGTATTCATAATCTTCATATTCATCCACGGATACAATTTTCTTGCAAGCATGCCGACATTCTACCTCTGAACCGAAACGGTTTGGATTTCCGCCACAGCCACTGTAAAAGAATTTAGAGCATTGTCTGGCAAAGGCATCGTAGCCAAACATTTCATGTTTGCCCTTACATGGACCTGGATTAACGCGGAACAAACACTTCACTGTATAACAGATGGGATGACATTATATATAATAAGATTATTCGCTAAAAAATAGACCTGACTCACAATTCTTTACAAAAGGTTCCCTTGTGTATCCCAGGCTTGAAACTTCTACAACCAAGCCAAACGCAAGGAAATAAAGCACAAACTTCATGGTTTCAGCTATAATTGGTAACTGAACTGGGATGCAAACTTAGCTAGATGAACATGTTCAGTTAGTTATTAACTAAAGTAAAAATGTGTTTAAATATTACTTAACAATCAGCTTTCGCTATGGCATGTGGCATTTTGTTTATTTTAACCAGCTGATTCAAAATTAGTCTGACTCTCACAGAATGTCGCTCGATAAACGAGGCACTGTTAAGTTCGCTGGCTTTGAAGATTGAGTGGCCAATCTGACAGGAAGGGAGCAATCACTTGCCAACATGTTGCCAGTCAAATGTTGCCAACGCTGCACAGTGGTTTAAGCATCAATTAAAAATAAGTTATCGACTCAGAAAAAATTGGAATTTCTCTTCAAAAAGCTATATTGCACGAATATAAAATAACAGGTTGTTAAAGTATATCTGTTAATATTTGTTTGAATTGTTTTATTTAGATTATTGCGATGCACTGTGCAAAGGATTTGCTGCTTTGGCCGACTCGTCATTGTCGCACGACTCACGACGGTGATAAATAATCATCAGTCCAAAGAGCTCTGACTGTGTACGAGTCCAAGTGGAGCCATAGTTAGAGTGGAGCAGGTTCAGAGCTCGGTTGCCCTCTATGTGTTTCTAATTAAGCTTCGGCAATTGCAGGTACTCGTAATTGCATAAGGAGTAACGGCACTTTCTGCTCCTGTGTCTATTGACGGCTGCTCTTGGCCAGGTTAAGCTTCTCGTTATTATCGCCATCGCTGGCTCGTTTTGGCCAGCTCATTGCCCAGACGGCCGATAGCAACAGTTGGCAATGACATTTCAATGCATTTATGATGTTTATCTTGGGCGAGCGGGCCATGCAAAGTGCTCCTCAGTACTTTCGATAAATTGAGCACGTTTTCTAAGGCAGGGCCTTTATCAAAACAACTTCATCATCATCATCAACAGTAGAACCAGCAGTAGCTTATTGATCTTCTGGCCAGGTTTGTCAGCCTGATTTTTGGCTCGCTTAATTGGCCTCTGATGGCCATTTGGCTTGGGCCCAAAATCAGTTTTTAATGAAAAACCACACAAAAGACGCCGCACACAGCTGCTGAAAACTGGCGTGCCTTAGATCCTCTACTCATAATTCATTTGGATCGTTGTCTGTTGCACAGATTTATTTTGGGCTAACTCGATTACCATACAATTAGAGCATTGCTGCATTTTATAAAATAGTTATTCTGAAAAATACACATGTATATGTATACGTATTTGATATGTAAATATTTGTTGCATTATGCAAATGCAAGGTGCTTTAAATCGAAGGTATGAGCCCAGTATGAGCTGCATAACTAAATATAGGCATACGTTTAAGTAAGCATATACAACTTAAGACATGGTCGCCAGATTTTTGTATATATATATATAATTTTTTTTTTTGGAAAGTTTTTCTATAAGCACAAAGTTTACTGCTACACAGTGAGCATGCTGACCGTTAAGTGCCATTAAACAGGCGACTGCTGCTGCGGCTCAGACTGTGGCTGAGGCAGTGGCAGTGGCATTGTTGTTGTTGTTGTTGTTGTTGTTGCAGTCGCTTTTGCTATTGCAGTGGTCCCGCTTTCTAAGAGAAGAAGAAAATGAAGCAGGTGCGCAATTGTCAATTTTCTTGCTGGCTGCTAGAGAAATATAGAGAGACACAACAAAAACAATGAACAACAAGCCAAGAAGCTGCCTATGAGCCAACGAAGTTTCTATACACTTTAAGTCGTGAAGAAGAATATAATTCTGGATACTTAACTTCTGAAGAAAAAGCCGAAAATAAATTCGCATTTATATTTTACAGCTTTTTCGTAGACTTAGTATAGCTGTAGTACAGAGAGCTGCAATAGATGCGTCTAACCGTGTTACCCTTCTTTATTAGGGTATTTCTATATCTGATTGTTTTCTGCACAGGTTTTTATCAGTCGCATATCGGCTTGACATAGACATAGTAAGTAGCTTTTGTTGCCTGTTGTCAGTTGCTGTTGCTGCCGCCGCTGCTGCTGCTGCTGCTGCTGTTGCAGCGACTGGCCAGCCCGTTGTGACTGTGATTATTATGATTGTCCAGTCAAGCATGGACGATGGCTATGCCTAGGCCAATGCCGATACCGATGCTTATACCGATGTCTGTACCGATGCTGTATGTCGATGTCGATTGCTGCTGGCCACAATATCGCTAAGATTTATGGCCTTTTTCCAAGCAAGATTTGGCAGCGGCGCTTGTTCTACGAGCTGTTGCCCATAGATATCTTTATATAGGTGTATAGCATACTTTATTTATATGTTTGTATGTCTGTTCATCCATATAGCATGCAATAATAACTATAATTTGCCTGATTTATGATTTGGTTTTGTGACATCAATTTGGCGTGCGGTCAGCCGGCCAGGCCAACGACCAAGTTTGCAGCTTTATTTTTTTTTTTTTAATTTGTAGCTGCGACTTAAAGATATTGTTAAGTTTTGCTTCAGCTTGATATAACTGAAGATAAATTGGAAAAAGTATGAGCAGTAGTTCATAAAACAGCTTGCTTCTTTCAAGATATGTTTCTTATGTGAAATTAAGTTTAATTTCGTTCTGATAAAATGTGTTCTTATAAGATTCAAATAGTTTTCGAATCCTAATCAACGAGTTGGCAATATATGAAATTGTTAACAGTCTTTTGCGCTAACTCTCTGACAATTACGATTATTTTTATCCATTTCTTTTATTGGAAAGAAAACATTTGGTATTCCCTTTCTACTATACCAGTCCCTGTCAACTTTAACTGCAACAGAAAACTTTACGCACAAAAAAAATGCCATAAAACTATCAAATATAATTGTCTATGTCATGTGTTTGTTGCTTGAGAAGCCGTGCCTATTCTCTCTCCTCGTCCAGTTAATGCTCGTTATCGCAATGTCAACGATAAATTCCGTAGATCATAATTTATGTGTATGGGCGCTTACAGGTCTGATGCAGTTCACGGGCATTTGATGGGGCCGAGACCAGGCAGCAATAGTCGCCCATAATGTCGGGCAAATCTGCTGGCAGACATCTGGTGTGGCCATTACCACTGTCTGATGTCACATAAAGTGGGCAAACTAATTTCCGCTGTATGCTAATTAAAAGTGCCAACGGCATGACTGCCAATGGGCAAATTGCAGCCAGTTGCTGTCCTTAGCAAATAGGGGAGCAAAACAAGTGCCTGATCGAAGTTCTAGGAAGTGCAGCCGGCGGCACATGCTGCGCCTGGCTGGGCCATGCCCAACCAAGCAGCCAGCCATTTCGTTATGGTTTAAATGAGCAATTTAACAAGCAGACAGCCTGAGCTCCAAGCGGCTGCCGCTGCCGCTGCTGCTGCTGCATGTGGAGTAAGAGATCAAAGATAGAAATCTCGGCAAGAAGCGGCAGACAGTGGCAAACAGGCACACGGCGTTGCCGGCTTGGGCAGCTGAGTCGGCTCTGTTGGTTAGGGTTATTGCTTGTTGTTGTTGTCGACTTAATAGCGGCGCTTGGCGCTGTTGTTACCACTGCTGCTGCTGTTGCTGCTGCTGCTGCACTTGAAATTGAATCTGAAGGAAAATCGTGCACATTCTGAGGCGACACCGAGATGCGGAAACGGCAGCACAACAAGCACAGAAGCCGTTAGTTAAACTGCTGCCACTGCCGGAGGCCGGCGGCCAGCGTCTAAGTGCAGCTGCATCCCGATCGATGTTGCCTCGAACCCTGCCCTTGTCGCCTGTCATAAAGGCAGCCCGGTTTCTTTTTTTGAGGCATATTAATTATTTTTTCGGGCTTTTGTCGTTGCTGTCGTTGTAGTTGTTGCTGTTGTTGTTGGCGTTGTTGTTGCTCTTGAGGATATGTCCGGAGTTGGGCCTGGCCTAAGCCCGCAGCTGCTCCATGCGCCATGGTCAAAACGCCCGCCAGCGATTTTTTGGCAGAGATTTCTGCCGTTGTTGCTTGTGGTTTTGGCTTTGGCTTGGCGAATCGTGGCCAGGCATAGAGCAAAAAGCACACCAGGAATGAAATTTTTCGTACATGTTATTGTCCATGTCCCTGGTCCACTGTTTTGTTGCTCTGTTGCTGTTCGGCAATGTTGCCGTCTCGCTCGCCGCTCTGGGCCCTGGCAAGTCGAGCCACCCATGGCGGGTTCAATCGGGTTTCGTTACAGTTTTACTATGGGCAACATTGTTGAACGGCCCGTACTGGGCGACTGGTCGCCTAGTTGTCTTTTAGCGTTTGGCATTTTCAATTTCATGTTTTGCTGTTGCTGTTGTGTTGTTGTTGTTGTTGTTGCTGTTGCTGGGTTTCTGTGAAGCACGATAAGCATTTCTTTTGAATTCGTTTTGTTGAGGGCGTGTGCGGCGTTTGCAGCCAAAAAGCAGCACCAAAAATCACAGTTACATCAAATTGTTAATTCGTTTCATTTTGCACTGGCTGCGACTCTGATATCAACTCTTGTAGCTACCGTTGCTTCAAGCACTCCAACAGCAACAACCACAGCAGCTTGAGGTCAATTGAAATAGTGCATAAAATCAATTTGACAACTTTTTGTGGTTTGTCGCATAAAAGAAACCGTTGAAGTTTCGTCCGGTTCCAGCTAATTTACCCACTGAATTCGTTCTGGCCGAGTTCAATATTGAAAGGAACTGCCAATTGTCATATTATTGATGGTTAATTTATTACGTACTTCATTATTCAGCCTCATAACTCACTGTCAGATTGGATTACAGCTAATTAATTCTCATAGATTCAATATTGTATTTTTAGATGACATTTTCAATATTTTATCGTGTGTAGATATTACAATTTATGGCACTGGCAAAGAAATTTTAGTGAAAGAATTAATATTTATTGATTATCTACATAAGCCTAACATAAAGGTTAAAGGTGATATGGGAATTTTATTTATTTACACTTACAAAATATTTAATTATATTATTTAATTTTACCTTCAAATGATTCGTAAATCCACTTTTTTCTCAGTGCACTTGTGCTTTGAATCTTAATTGCTTACAGGCTC